GAAGTTGTTTGAATTATTTCAAAGTAAGATTCGGGCTCTCACTTTGAAAGCCAAGCGCAAGAAACTTCAAAAATTGAGACAAATGACAATTGATGACATGATGAACTAAATAAATATTGCGTACTTTACCGAGATGCGTACCTAAACAGATGCGTACTTAACCAGGAGAATATTGTAGATCATATTGATGCATTATATCTTAAAGTAACACAAATTTTGTTTGATGTCCCTTTCTCATTAAAACAAAATTTTACTTTTTTTACAAAAATAAATTTTAAATGATTAATTAATAATTAATGCAGATTAGTAGAATTTGAAAATAAAATTTCAAAAATATCAATGCAATTTAAGTAGAATTTTAATTTTCAAATAAAAAATATTTCTATTTAACAATTGACTTGTATCACATTCATTGATATGAAGATCATAAAAGTCAAATCTCTTAGTTTCTAAATATACATACGCAAAAAATCTATAAGAAAAAATTTATTATCAACATGTTCACCAACATGCAATCAAAAAATAAATTCTTCATTGATTTGAATTACATGAAAAGTGTGTGGCATAAATATACCATATGAACATATTTCTATTTGATGATAAAGAATCAATGAACTTTATTTATGGATTTAGTCAAAGTTAAATTCACAAGATTTAATGTCCGAAACAATGTACATCAAAATGTTCTTTATTTTCAATCAAATCATCAATATAACTTTGTTCAATTTCAGCTAAATCATCATAAATTACATGAGTTTCAAATATATTTATGCAAAAAACATGAATGATCAAATGAATGGTACAAAAAATTCAGTTTGCTTTCAAAATTTTATAAGCCTTAATAATCTTGAGCTACCCATTTTAAAGTGCATTTTTTTGTTTTGAGTGTGATATTGAAATCAAATTGTTCTTAAGAGGATAAATTTGGTGCCAAACAACCTACTTAAAAAGATTTCACGTAATCAATGATAATTTAATACTGACTGTGACATCAAAATGTAAAATCAAACTATGTAGAGTCTAATCTAATATAAATGATTTCCAATTTGATGATGTTTTATAACCATTGGAAATCAAAAAAATTTGAAGCAATGATTGATCATCTTAACTTCACAACGTTCTTAGCTCTTCAAGATCTGAATCTATGTTTTGTTTCAAGATGAAAAGGTTGAAATCTTGGTATGGTGTTACTATCTTTAATTGGTTAAAACTAAAGTAAAGTTTATCCAATATAGAGATATGATTACCCTATAGTCACATATTAATAATTCTCATGTTAGCAATCCTTGTGCTTGGTAGTTAAAAGTTAACTTTGTTAGTTGAAACAAATCGACAATCCATATGCTACTTAGGTATTTTGTCATGTCATTTATCCATTAAAAGTGAATTAGATTATCAAGAGTAAATCGTTTCATTGTGTATATATTTGAAGCGGCAGACTAGGGCCACACTCGTTTTTGCTACGGCCCCACCCGCTACAGACAAACAACTGATTGCGCGTCAAAGCACGCCTCCCCTCAAACCCAGCTGCTAAGCCGAGCTCGTCCTCGAAGCAGAGGAGAGCGTAGTCGAGAGGCTTCGAGGGGCGCGGGACCGCTACGGTTGTCGCTGTCTCCCGCGTTGCTGGGGCTTGGGCAGTAGCAGTGCGCTTGGGTTGTAGCAGAAGTGAGCTTGAGTAGTAGTAAAAGCGGGCATGGGCATGGTAATTAGCGGGCGGCTGTGGCCGTAGCAAAAGCGGATGTGGCCGTAGCAAAAACGGGTGTGATCCTAGTCTGGCCCATATTTGAAATATCTATATATTAAAAAATATGAATCATTGTAAGTATTTCTTGTCTTCAAAGTTTATAGTTCATATTGAATGAACTTACCTTGTAAAACCTATTGTTACAATGTTTTTTTTCCTTTGATCCATGAATTTGGATATCCTTCATGAAATATCAAAAAAGTTTTGATTAATTGAAATTTTTCAAAATAATAGAGATTAGAAAAAGTAATTGATTGGCATGTAAAGTAAAGAAAAAAAATGTGTGATTTTGCAGATATGAAAATGTATGATAGAAGCTAAAATCCACAATGATCAATATTTATTATATTCAATATTCATTTATTGTTGCATAAAAAACTATCATTTTTTATGAACATTGTGGCTTATTGAGGTGTAAATTTTATGATTTGAGCTATGGAATCAAAAAAGCGTCATGATTGACGCAATCATATAAGATGAAATCTTACAATGAAAGTAAAGCAATGAAATTTTAGGGTATTGAATCATGAAAATGAAAAATCAATTATTTCATTTATATGTTATTGATTTTATTGGATTGATGTTCATAAGATCAAATTTTACGCATAAGATTTGTACATGATATATTTTATAAGAACAAAGGCTTTTGAAAAAAATTGCCATTATTGTATGGAGTGAAATGCAAAAATGATTATTGGAAATTTTTTAAACTTTGAATTTTCTTTGAATCACAAGAATAAGATTATATTTAAAGCATAAAGAAGATATTCATGAACAAATTACAGATTCTTGTTGTCTCCAAGTATCTATAATGGATATGAGTGGATTAAAATCTTGAATGTGTCTTAACGAGACTTAAAGCATTGAATTTTGAAGGTGATGTGTATAATTCCAAAAATCATCATAATAGTAAATCAAATGACACAAGATATAACGTGTTTCATACCTTTGGAGTGCTATGTCCACAACAAGAACATGCATGAAATCTCTGAAAATAATGAAAATAATTTGTACAGTGTAGAAGCTTTGGGAAATGTAACCCTCCAATCCATAAGACTATTATAGCTAATTTTAACTATGATCCAAAGTTAATCTTTAAACGGAATTAACCTCAACAAGGTGATGATAAGCAATCTATCCACAATGAATAATGCAATCTCTATTAATATGTGCTTCTGAAGTCACACAAACCCTTTTTGAAATCCATTTTGCTGTAAAACATAAAATCCAAAGAATTTAGTGACCAAACATTCAATCAAACAATCAACATGATACACATAAATAATGTGGTTCATCTTCAAGAGAAGGGCTACCTCAACGGAGAACACGCGATGCTTTTGTTTCAAGTTTTGTCACAAAATACTCTGACTTCTTCCTTATGACAGAAGCCGAAGTATATAATCCCAATCAAAAGGTACCATCCTAGCTATTTATAGCTAGAACCTGAAATTACTCCTTTAACTGGAGTTAACTTAAATAATATCCCCCCTGAACTCACGTCAAAGAAATTGTTTACTCTATAACATGCATTATTACTCTGAGGTAAATTCTAGATAGAAATTTAACACAAAACTACTCTTTATACAAGAGTCAATTAGAACTAAACCCTAACTATACATAATAAAATTATAACATAAAGAGAAAACTAAAAAATTTGCTTATATAAAATTAATAGAAATCTTGTAAATTATATAACTAATCTACGGATATTTATAGAAAAAAATCTAATTCAATGCTACTTTATTCAAGAATTATCTAAAACTAAACTTTAGCTATCATAGGATAAAATTGATAGATAAGGTGATAACTTAACATATTATGTTATTAATTTTTATTTGTGCTTTTCATATATATTAACACAATGTTATTTGGAATTCTCCAAAATAATAATTTTGGTCAATTTATAGATTGAATTTATTGTCAATCTTGACTAATTCAATCATTTTTTCAAACATGGTTAATTGAAAAATACTCAACATAATATTTCTCTTTACTGTACAAAACTTTTACAATATTCGTCTTGATCATGAATCATATAACTTAAAACTCTTCTACAACTATATCCATGAACAGAAATTTTCTCCAAATATTTTTCAATGATTTGGACTTATTGAAAAACACACATATACACACAACAACCTTACAATCTTTTGACATCTTATTTTTTCAATACAATTAATTACATCATGTATCAAACTAACTGTATGACAAGATATCCAGAATTCTCCACTTGTCTTGTGTCATCTATTCATAAAAATCACTAATGGTATCGATAAGTTTCCGACAATAATAGATTTGTTTGTATTCTAACCTAAAAAAAAAATTGGATGGAATATTTACAAATAAAATATTTTATTACATATAAAAAATCTTTTTGACATAAAGGATATTTCGATACATCTAAATACAAGGAAAAGAAAATATAAAGTCTCTTATAAGAAAAGTCATCAACAAACTTTTGTGACTGAGATCCACGTACGCCATCTTTGACGATAGTCTGTCCTATCAACTAACATCATTCACACGCAGGAACTCATGGCCCGTTGCCACATAAACTCGCAAAGAATCACTTATCAATCACTGATAAGTGAACTCGCACATAAACTCGCAAAAAATCATAATGACTGGAACATACAGCTAGTGTAAGAACATACCAATTACTGATGTTCGACTTTCGTAAGAGCGACCATTTCAACATCTCCTGTGTGTACCGTACTTTCAAAGGGATGTTGGAACTACCAGAGGCTTGTCATATCTGAAGGTTGGAAGTATATGTGGATCATGGATGATCTCCAAGGCAACTTGGTTCACAAACTTCGCGTCCTTTCTTCCCAGACAAGTTCTCTTCACAATGTTATCGCTGACAATGAATGCCATCACATCTAATAGAAAACCTGGGTTCGGGCGCAAAAAGAGCCAACCTCTCCTGAGGTTGAGAAGATAATTAATCAATACCGGCATTGGAAGGGTAAAGAAGGGAGGTCGTGAGATTGCCGGAGGTCGGAGGATTGAACTTGGTTATACTTCAACCTGCCTACGTCAGGCCTTCTACTACCTAACCGAATGACATTGCCGGCTCAGGCGTTCTTAAACTTCCGAGTTGCAAGAAAGTTCATGTTAATTTGCGAATAGGATCGTAATCAGAAATTGCGATAAGAAACGACATCCGTAGGTGAAATTAGTGGATACAGATTCTCACAGAGGCGACTTAGCTTTACCTCCATTGATTGCACATCAGCTCAATTATGTTACTCATGAACGACTTTAGAAATTCAAGGCACAATGGATCCTCAAGAGGTAGCACGATCCTACGGAATTTTGAGTAAATAAAATTAATAAATACCTTCACAACAATGATACGCAGAACTCCTACCCACTGTCCTACACTGAACATTACGTCTAACCTGATCTCCATCTTCACATGATCTGGCAACCAACTTCAACCTTCTGCCCTGCACCCTACAAATGAATTCGGCACCTCCACGAACTCCACTCCTGAATGTGCAGGTTTAAATCGTCTGCATAAAACTTTATTCGTGTAGGGACAAGTATTCTTTTCTTCCCTAGTCCAGGTGACGAGTATCTGATCCATATCCAGTATAACCACACGCTATCAGGTAATAAACGCTGATTGTAAGCTCCTCCACCGTGAGTCTGCCGTAGAGGTATGAGGTTTTCTAAAAGGCTTAGTCCTCATGATGACTAGTCATAGACTACATCGGCAAAGGAAACATCTTGAATTTAACCAGGAGATTTATTAGCTTGGTATCTCACCCTACAAAGCTCTGTTAGTGCAGAGGCATCCAATGGGGCTGCTCTTCTTCCACACCACCTGCAAAATTGAGGGGTAGCATAGTCGCAAAGAACTGGCCTTAGACCACACACCCCTTTCGACCTTAGACCCATCTCTACAAGAGTCACATCTTGGTTTGATGCTGACTCAAACGAATCCTTTTGTTACATTCTATTACCCATTTACTCTCCTCTTCAACGCGCAAAGGCAGATGTTGATGGAAAACTGGTACGTCGGCTCCAAATACAGCTCAACGGGTGAACCTAATAAATTCTACGCAGGGTTCTTCGACCTCGGTTTCCGCTTCTTGGACTCAATGCCAAGACCTCCCAATCCGCCTCCCAATCCCAATGGTGCCACCTTCTCCACTTTTCCTTCGGCAGACCCATTGGCCTCGGCAGCAGGTTCTGCGCTTGGCTTTACAGCAGCCGCAGTTGCCTTTTTACCCTCATTTACTCCCTTCACCGCAGTTGCTGCCTTGCTAGAACTTGCTGCAGGGGCTGTTTTGGCTGGAGGAGCAACTTTATTACTGTTAAGAAGACTCAGAAGATCGCCCAAGGGTGGCATACCTTGGCCCGCTGCCGGAGCACTTTGGGGTCTAATATTCAGACCTCTTGCAGCTGCTTTCTTTCGCGCCTCAGCTGCGGCTCGTGCTGCCCTCTCGTCCATTCCTCTTGGCCGCGGTAAAGCGTCCCCCAGAAGTGCGGCGGCCGCAGCCGCCTTGCTAATGGCACCTCGTCCTCCTGGCCCGGTACCAGCCGCGGCTTGGAAAGCTTGAACCAAATCAGAGCGGGCCTGGAAATCGTCCACATTCGGCATCAGAATTCAGAATCGTCTAGGGCACGGCAAGAGCTTCAACTCCTCCTACTGCCCCCTCTTAAGATCGAGTTTGATTTGGAATATGGAGGAGGAGAGCAAGCGCAAAGCGACGAGTTTCTGACGGATAGAAAGATAAAATATTGCTTTCTCTCGGGCTTAGCATAAACATTGTCAATCAAGGAGACAAGGCACCGCAGTCTAGTAGGATATCCAAATGCTCAACATAGTTCATAATCCCAACGTGTCCAAACCATCCAGGAGTGCGCGACATTGAAACTCACCTTCAGCTGTTCTGCTTCCTTCGCTGTGGATTGGGTCTGCCGTCCTCTCTGCTTATGGGCATGGGCTTGAATCTCTCGTAACTGGAAAGTCTTTATCCAATTGGCAGAATCACGAGTCCTTGAGTCGTCTTCTCCCAGTTGCTTCAAGAGAATATTGTATGTGCTTCTCTCATGCTGTTACCAATGCATAGAGTTAGTTCAAACTAACAACAGAATCGATCATCAACACTATGAGTGAAGTATATCAACGACTCAACTTCTCTACTTAAAATTTAAGATCTACGAGAGTCCTTTCGCACTTAAGTGAGTTCGTAGCTACACATAGGAAGTATTTCCGATGAAAGTCAACGAGTCCATCTGAAAAACTACCGGAGTATGAAACAGTTAAACAAGGAAGGGAACACGCACTTGGAATGACAGCTTGTAGGCACCCATGCAGTTGAATGCTATAGCAAGGGCATGGTAGCACACAGCTGTTTGAATGTGATCAGGCCCCAATAGCCTTTCATTGCGCTTAAGGGCTTCTTGCAAATAACGGAGAGCAACATGCATACGGCCGATGTCTTGATACATCATGGCAATGTTGATAAATGTGGCAGCCACGTCCGGATGGTCCGATCCACAAGAAACGTTCAGTAACAACAAAGTTCGTGCCATGTGGCGCAAGGCAAGTTCTGTCTGATTTAAACCGTGGTAGAATAACGCCATGTTGCCGTAACTGGGGACACAAAAGCAACTTCAAACGTCAACTTATGAACAAAATGAATGTAGTCGACTAAGATCATACCAATAGTTCTCGTATACCACGACCACGACTTGCTCTTCAGTTTGAAATGCTGTAGAACTTGTTAGTTCTTTGAAATATATTGCTTTCAAAACGATATCACTCCATAACGTCAACTAAAGCTGTAGAATCTACTTACGGAGATCGAAGTTAGACGCAACGACATCCTAGAAAAATTACACTTTAGACAAAGGGTACACGATGACAGATTCGAACCGGCCTGAAAGAAATCATGTGAAGGTACGAGCTTTGCACTTGCCTGTGAGCTGTATCAGGGTGATCCGGACCTAGGCATCTCTCATTAATAATGAGCTCTTTATGTTGTTGCATAATGGCACCAGCCATGTCTCCAGCATGATAGAGCACCATAGCCAAGTACCTACAACAACCGCAACAGGATTCAGCTTCATTATTCGGCTCAAGTTTTAACTTCCACTAAAAAGTGCAAAGAGTAATCAGAACACCATCCTATCCCGCTCGAATGTTGAACTTCTATTTCAGCGAATAACTTCAATGCTATATGTACATACCGACAACAGTTCGCTACTTCCCGATGCATTGGGCCGCACACCTGCAGATTAAAAAAAGATCCTTAAGTTTAAAACCGAGATTCTGTAAAGGAGTGGCGACTCCATTTCACGATGGATAGAAAATTGCCTCAAAGTCAACCATGAGCCTAAAGAAGCAACTGATGCTGCGGGAGGGTGGTCACGATCACGAAAGTTAAAACATGATCAGCTATACTGCAGAGGTTCACTTACCTGCTGGAGGATTGTGAAAGCTTCCGAGAATAGCTCATAGGCTTCGTTAAGTTTACCCTGTGTATAAAAAAATTGAACGAATTGACCATTAGCAAGTTTTAATTAAATTTCGTGTGGGAGTGGATTTGGATAATAGTCAAACGAGCTAAACTGACGTAGTTCGATGGATTACCACACTCTCCGATGTCGACATTATGAACACTCAGAAGCAACCCGGTATATCTAGAGACAACCTCCCTAAACAGGTCCCATCAATTGCTACCTCCTGCTATGATTGCTGCCTAAGGCAGTTAGTGCAGATCCTAAGGAAAAAACTACTGCATGAGTGTTGAAGAAGGCTAAAATCATACAGAAAACATGTGACAGCGACGAGTTCTACATTTATCCTGAAAGAGATACAGACAGACAACGTACTCACGGTTGCATTAAACACAGGAAAATGTATCGATGTTTATAACCCTTACTACTGAGCTCAAGGTAGTAAGACAACTTTGTGCAGACTCCCTTGCACGCAAGATATCAAATCTGCGATAGGATGTACGATATGGTGTTTCGGCTTTCCCCGAACGAGATTGATAAACCACAAATTATCGTTCTCACATTGAGAAGCTTTCAATATTAAGGGTGGTAAAGCCTTCCCACAGCCACCAAGAAATACTTCAGTGAAACTTCACTTATGGTGTTCTCGCGGCAAACAAACACTGAACAACCCACCCAACGAGAGAAGGCTTACAAGTACTGTCACCAACAAAAACTGTAGGTGGAAAGTAGGTATGGGGAATAACTTGGTGTAGCCGGAACCACTGCGGTTGCTGCGGAGGTCCAAGGAACTTCACCCGCGTGGGTAGGCCAACCTGTTTCAGGCAACAAGGCTCTGTGGATGCTATAGCCCTGGTTTAAAAATTCATTTCAACTCAACTATCATGCAGGACGATAATATCACACAGTGAAACTCAATGACATAAACAATGATAATCAAAGGACCAAACGTACACCTAACATTAGGATGGTATGGGGTAGAATTAGGCTCAGTGGGCTTCGAAAGTTCCGTCATGCTCATGTGATTTATGGATACTTATTCGACTAAGAGTATACAGGAAACAAACAATTAGTCATTTACCTGAGCCAACCTGACCTTCCCGCTTTCGAGAAGATCGCGAGCATCCGCGCACACAGGTGCCGAATGCTTAACGACTGCCTGAAGGTCAAGTATATCGGTGATCTGGAAAGGAGTATTGGAGGTAAGGGCGTAGTCTCGAGCAGCAAGCATGACTCCAACCTGAAAAGAAAGGCACGGATGTCAGAGTATATACTAAGTATATACAATTGGAGAACAGATGGAAAAGCCTTACAAAACCAACATACATTGCGACTCAATGGCTCCATATACATATGTAACGCCATGACATCCCCCGCTTGGAATCTTTAACTTATGTGGACCTATTGCACTTCCACAGGTTGTATTTCAAGTTGTTATCTTACCTTTTGGCAGAGGTCTCTGAAGGTCGATAATTTGCAAATTCTTGTCCTTGCATCTTCTGGCAATTCAAACTGTGAAGAAAACAATGTCAGTTGCCTTGCACCAGGCTTCTTTCTCACAAGTCACAATTGGGTATATGAACCAGCGTTGACTTCAAGGGAGATAAATCAGCTCAGTTATCTGGAAGTCATGAATGTCCAACTAATAGTAACACTTCCTCACCTGATATTTGAACTTAACACATTCTCGAATATCGATCCAAACCAACTTTGAAGTAATACACAAATATGAGGGACGATTCTCGACAGCCTTCTCCCCCTTTTCCGTCTTGGTTTTGTCGGCCTCAGCCTTGTCCTGTCAACGTTGTGTTAGAAGCCACTGACATGAAATGAGAAAAGTACAACAAAACATACTTTCAAATATGCAAGTTGTCAAAGAACAATCATCCGTGTGACAAACACCACAAAATGCTCGTGAACTCACTGAATCAGAGCTCACGGCGGAAGCATTTTTCTCCTGCTTTTTCTTTTTCTTGCTGACTTTCCCGTTGCTCTCCGGTGCTTTGACCTCTCCAGCTCCCTCCGCATTCTTAACGGGAGAAACGGTTTCGGTAGTGGCCTCTGTCTCAGAAATTGAATCTGTCTCCTCCCCAACAAGACAATTGAAGAAGTGGGCAATGGCACCCCCAACATCCTGGTCAAGGGTTTCACGGAGAACGCCCTGCAATAAAAGTAAATCAATTAAGAATATTAACTTGCTAGGAACTATCGTGACGGGAGATAATTATGGCTTTCAGGAATACATTCATGAGACAAACGGGAAGAGTGAACTGACGTAGAAATAGTATTAGCCGGCGAAAATCAAAAGAGTACGGTCTCACTTTCCTAGATACAAGTAGAATAAACGTTCTACACGTGTGATAGTACACGCACCCGTTGCGGCTAATTTCTGGGTCTAGACAGAAATTGTTGTGATCATACTAGAGGAAGAGCCACTTCTATAGTTGCAGTAGCAGTCGTTAATACAAGATATCTGGATCCAGACACAATTGAGGCTGGATGTATGTTCTAGACTGTACCGATATATCGAATGAAGTATTAATATTGATAGTATCTGTCCACAACCACTGTCGACATACATCAATCGAAAGGTTGAGACTACACAAGGCATCTAGCCTCTAAGATGTCCTCTAACCACGTACCTTCAGCACATGCTTCGCTGCCCGCACGACCATCTCCACCACGCAAAGATCCCATACATGTGGAAGGTGCTTCGAGAGCTTTGCCACCTGAGTCAGTACATATTAGATCGTCAGAAAACGGCGTCAGTTAATGCACCGAACAAAACACCGAATGAAGTATACCGCAACCACAATAATTTGCTAAATATTTAGAAGTGGAAGTTGGTGTAATCTACTCAAGCATAAAATGTTTGACACTCACTTGACCAAGGTATCGAACATTGATGCCGTGGGCATGAAGAGCTTCCGTCAAAGTGTGGCCATCCATGGGTGAGACCTCTAGACTGCTCAAGTCCTGAACCAGCTTCGGAAGGACTGTGTCCACCAGGTACTTGGCGGTTTTACGAACGAGCTCCTCGTCAGCAGCAACTTCCTGTTATAGATTGAAAAGAGAACAAAGAGTTCAGGTCGACGTAATTAACGAAAACTATACGCTCTTCACAACATACGAATAAATAAGTCCACTCACCTCTGGTTCCCCAGCAACCTTGAAATCCGTGAAAACGTTTGGATTCAGAACAATCTTCGGTAGCTCCTCCTGTAAAAGGATTTTCTCATCTGCTTCCTCGCCATCAGCTTTTCGCTTCTTCACTCTTTCAAGTGCCTCGACCTATACGGTGTCACGGAGTCAGCTTATCAACGAACAAAAATTTCGGTCCAATTCGTAAATCTAAACGACAAGAAAAGAACATATCGGATGTGACAGGAAGTATGTTGGAACGGTCGCCACGAAAATATACCTGGCAGAAAGCAGCAATCAGCTCCGGCCGCAAGACGCTTAGGCGCGAACCCAGTCCAGTATAGTTTGCATCTCGGGGTGTGGTCCTCATTAAGTCGAGCATGTAGTGCCTAGAACAGCGAGCCAAAATTCAATGATAAAACAAGTCTCAGGACAGCAATGGTTTTCACAAACCCTCAGAACTCTTATCGAAGCTTATACTTGGTATCTGGGACCTTTCGCAGAAAAGAAATAAGAAGTCGATGGCCCAGCCACATTCACCGAGTACATCATACTTATTTTCATCACCCAGTACTGCAAAGGACTTGGAAAACAAGGCTACCATGTGACGGCTTCTTCTACTTGAACATCACGTCAATGCCATATGAGCTACAGAAGGCACGTGGGTCTAAGCCCTATCAGAGTCTTCATCAAGAAACGAACCACTGTCAGTAAATACTCAGGACAAACTCAGGCCATTCTCGCATCCATATTTATACCTATCATCACTTCCGACGATACCCTTGCACTCCACCGGGGCGCACAGCTTGACTTTGTTTCCGGAACCATCGACAACTTCGTGCTCTTTAATGTGGAGAAGCTTCCCGGCTTCCAAAACCTACACATTTCCACAACTTAACTGTTGACGAGATATAGTTCACTCCATCTCACCACAATTCTCTTTATCTAATTCAGTCTCAAAATCCATCCATCACAAATTCCTTGCTTAAAGGGAGTGTCAGTGGCCAACGAGAGTGTCCCTTGGGCCCATGCTTGTAAGAAAGAAGAGGCAATTACAACTATACGTTTGTGTATGCATCGCTTCTTCCAGTAAAACGTCGACTTCTTCGTTCCAAAACTTAATCACAACCACAGACCATGGCAGACCGAATTGTTCTGTCACTGTCACTCCTTATCCCTGTCCGTACCTTCGAGTGGAATTTTTCGTTCCATGAAATTTTCTTGCCGTTATCTACAGATCCGTAGAGCAATGAGTCCGTCTTGTCACCTTGTAGTATACCTGGTATGATACTCTGCCAAAACAACAATCGAGTGCTAATTGATCAGCGATCAGGCTGTAAGATTTTGCGTTCGCCAGCACAAGCAGGCAGGAGTACTTTCCTCCAGCCTGACGAGTGGGTCTAAAAGAATACTTCTTAGGCTTTACACGAATACCAACCTGAGCAACAACTCGGTGTCCTCTGTAGTCCACAATGGCCATGGCCAGGGTGTAAAGACCCGCAATGTCTGTGCTGTTGTAGGCCTTTGTGCCCTTCAAATCATTGTTGGACGATGCATAAGTTGCCTGCTCACTCTCGACAACTGGGGGAGTGGCGGTAACGTTTCCATCATTAGAATCTTCTCCTTCTACGGCTGTGGTGGAGTCGGTTTCAGCCTTTGGAACTTCAGATACTTCGCTGCCTACTACGACGACTTCCGCAGGAGAAACGTCGTTAGTCTCTACTTTCTTCGCGTTCTCATCTTCTACTTCTTTGATTGCGCCATCTGCTTGCTGTTGTAACTCCTGCTCCCTCAGCTGCTGCATTGAGGCGAAGTCTCCATCCACAGCAAAGCTGAAGAAAATGTTGTTGTGTACATACCTAAAAGCACAGGATGTATGAGTGACTTAGCAAGATGCGAAGAAGTACGAACATCCGGTACAAAGTGGAACATCACCCACATTTTGAAGAAACTAATCTCCAAGAAAGACAGTAGGACGACACGTCATCTTCATCGGATATTCAATTCCCATATCGAACATCCGGTTATCTACACGTTGAGGGCTTCTTAGTAAACAAGGAAGGAAAATCCTCACATATGGAAGCGATCAGGATCGGTCGGATTTATCGGTGGAATGCATCTGCCTATAACAGCCTTTGCACCTTTTGTTGCTGCATCTACAAAATCACAATTGACCTTGTACAGTGCTCGGTCTCGCATGATCCTGAATTGACAAAGAACAATTTGCTTAGAACTGGGTGAAAAAGTTCATGGAACGCCAAAAGGATAACATGTGATGTACTGGAAAAGCCAAAAGTAAAGTTACCGATCTTGAAGATTTTCACGAGGAAACTCCCGGCAGGACTGGAGTTCCTCGTTCCAGTCTCTCTGCATTCCGATGACCTCAGTGCCATAAGGAACCATGAGAGAATCCTCAGCTCGAGCGATGTCCCTCTTGTGAGCTGTCATAATAAGAAGCACCAAGTCAGTAACTGACAGCACCCCGCACAGAATCATGGATTCAGTTCGCGCATGGATATGCACATTGCACAGGCTCAAAGTTCTGTTACAGAAAAACTTTCTTCCAGGCTCAGTTTTGCTCCTAACTTACTGCGTCATTATATCTCCAGGTCACAAACTGATGGGAATAGTGTGATGATAAAAGATGAGGCAGATGAGGCAGATGAGATGCCGTTGTCAGATACTTCAAGGTAGCATGAGAACAACACGAGAAACACTTCGCGTGAAAATTTAACAAATCAACATTAAAATTCCCCAACTATCCTACGGATCAATGCGACGGAGATCAACATACTAGAAGAGACTAATTCTTTAGTTACTCTCTACCTTCCTCACAAGGCGGCATTATTGAGATGAAAGAACATACCGGGAGGAGGATAGGCTCCCAGCCATGGATTAGGGGGAAGAAGAACTGGCACATTCTGGAAAGGATGACCAGCGGCCTTTCTCTCTAGAACCTCTGCGAAACCTGCAGAACACTTCCCAGCTTTAGATTCAGTGACCAACAATTATATCGACGTATACCAAGCCTCGATAAAGGAAGGTTTCGGACCCACAAAATAAGTTTCTAATTAGGAGAAGGCTTCACTTGTTGCTTGTAAAAAGCACGAAGTTATTAACGGTTGACCAGCACAATACCTTCAGTGAATTTCTCGCTGATCTGGCGAAGAAGTCCTACCAAAGTAGCCGATTCGACGTTAACTTTGGCATGTCGAGGGTCTAGTACATTTCCTTTGCTTGAATTGAGGTAAAAGCCTTGGGTATGTGCAGTAATACAGCAGTTTTGACCCTCTGCTGTGACAATATCTAGGTAGAGCAAGTCTCCTTGGAGCCTGAATTGTGCAGTTCAAGTACTTAGCGAGTCTCCAATCACGAAGTTACGGGGAGGAAGAGAAAAGAAAGATCCAGGTGGAAGCTAAAGCTTTCACGACGGTGAAGCAACAGTGCGAATACTAGAAACTAAGGCAATTCAATGATGAACTGAACAAGAAAGATAACAGGCTGGCATCCGTGATTAGCTATAAGCGCAAAATATCAAGGTCTTTCCTGCAAACCAAACACAATCACTTGAAAGCAAAAGCGTATACCTCCGGTAGCCAGGCACAGGGTTGAACGAAGAAAACGCGATGCTCTCGATACAGCTGTTTTCAGACTCTGGCGGCGTAAACACAAGGTTTGCTAGGAGTCCGGTGGTATCATCCATAAATCCCAGACCTTCAAGCTCAGGTGCTTCTGGCTTCACGCTCCCTTGACCTACAGCAAACTCAAGAATGTGAGCTGCACCTAAAACCTGTACTAAAATTATTCAATACTGTCCAGAAGCAAACGAACCATAATGCATCTAGTCTCTACTGCTAAACGAAATCTTACAGACACTTCAATCGCAACAACTCTCCTCCAATCACTCCGTCTATCACATATACGCATCGACAACTAACCTGCATCCTTCACTGCAACGGTCTTCGCCTTCGATTCAACAGCAGACGACGAAGTTTCACCTTCCTCTCGTTGACCTGTTAAAACACAACAAGCATCATCACATCCTCCGCATATAGCAAAGACCTCGTTAGAAAATTCGACACGGTCTTTCAGATGCCTAGATACAGTGAGCACACACCTTCCTGTGGTGCTCGATCCAAACTGTACTAAAAGGGGAGCAAATAGACTTGACTTCGTCAGGAATCCTAGCAACTTCAACTAATTGAGCCTAAAGCTACCCAGATTTAAAAAGCTCAGTTTTCCGCCACTCACCAGAAGCAGCCTGTTTTTCTTCATATTCCGTAGCCAGCGCCGTTGACAGGGAAGAATGTAGGTTTTCTGTTGAGATGAGCTCTCGCGTGCGCCTCACGTGAGACCTAACTGATCGATCATCATACAACGCTGGAAGGAGCCCACGAATAATGTAAGGACAGAGAAGCTCGAAGCCTTCGGTACGTATGTACCATTGTGAGAACCACGTAACTTAAAAGAGTCATAACCGTGATACTTTGGGCCTGGAAAATCCGCATCCCGGGCTTGAATGAAACCTCTCATTATCCCAAGTCCAAAATCGACATTATGAACTAAGAAAATCAGCATGTCATTTTCATCCTCAACAATTCCATCCTAGAGTGGCTCTCAGCTCAGCACTCTAGCATTCCTTTCCGTAAGCCTACAGTTCTCATGGTTCGCGCCTGATTGTACCAGGTTGCTTTAGCTCCAACAGTCTGCTCGTACACTGTGAAAAGAAAATTATATGGCGACCTCGCGTTAAACAGAGATATGTGATGAGGAGAAACACACAACCTTACAGTGCCTTTTTTAATCCTCTAGTTTCCGTTACAAAACCAGGTGCGGGCTTTGGCGTGACAAAAGTATCTCTTACCATTGACCATCTCCAGAGTGCAACCGCCAGCAGCTACATCGGCAACCTCCCCAATTTCGAGATACTCTGCAAGGTGATATCTCATGCCATCGGCAGTGTTCAAAATCAAGTCGTAGCAAGTGTAGAAACACGTCTCTGGTGCATCCAGCAAAAATTGTCGCAAATCCAAGACAGAATCTCCCGGATTTACCTGGATAGATGCAGGGTATGGCCAGAACGATCAGTGAGTTGAAAGTGTCATCTATAATGCATGTTCCAACAGAAAAAAAAAACAACGGCTTCTTATCTCCCCGACCTTCCAATTAACCACAGATTCGGACCTAAACGCAGACAGACTGGGCTGTCGAAAATCTACATTAAAACTATGACATCAAATGAATAATAATTACGGAACAAGCCCGATTCCGGCAGAATACAATATAACCGTAGTTCTTGTGAAAGGAATATGAAGTAACCTGCAACTCCATCTGCTCCCCAGACGGTCCTTTAACAGTCATAGGGTACAAGCGCAATTCGTCTGCACAAACAAGCGTCAAAAAAATCGGATGTCATTCTCTCGTCTCGGGTACAGCGATGAGCGAGGAGGAAATATGGCAAAATATTTTGCCGTTAGATCTATGAAATATGTGGACCGGGTGTACGATCAAGAGAGCTGTGTCTCCACTCGGAGAAAAAGCTCCTCGCCAAACTGTGGACTAGAATTCAACTACTAGCGATAAGAAAGGAAGAGAAAGGGTGAATGGCAGACGATGAAGCATTCGCACTGTGTAATCAAAATATGAAACTTGGACCTCATTGAGGTTCACTAGTAGTTCTTCATTGCACCAAAAAATTTGAAATGAGCACTAGAGAAGCAATAGGGCCTGAAACAACTGCAGGTAAGGACCGAAACATCGGGAAACTCTGGTAAGGACTTCTAAAACCCTGATGAGGAAGGAAGACCCATGTCACTACATGACCACTTAACACAGGTCACTTCTGTCGTCGCGTGATGATCAGGAAGCATCTGGAAGAGAAAAAAATATTGGTTTACCATGCAGCCTAGACTGCCCCCTTCAACTATGTAGGTCGAGGTTTTGACAAGGCGTCACTCAACGGCCAAACTTCCATAAAAGGGGCATAAACAAACGGGTGTTTTCACATAGAGAATTGTGGGTGACAATATCGGTGAAGCTTCCGGGGTTTATACATCCTTGATCCTTGCGACAGCATGATACTCTGAGCGAAGACTCGCTTTTCTATCCTTCTTCAACTCCGCGGTAAGTGATAAACCCCTGGCAAAATTTGTACCATTCCGAATGACGATAATAAGAATAAGGCAATGTAAACCTCTTCATACCTTCTCCTTCCAGGACAGCGCTCTCTCCATCTTGAATTTCGCCATCCTCGGACTTCTTAGCGACACCAGCTTCGTCGCTACTACTTTCTACAACTGGAGCCGCTGCCTTCGTCTTTGGTGATACTTCGGGGTTTTGCGAGGGCTTAACTTCTGTGTCTACAGTTTCTGGCTTTCCGGAAGACAATCCTACTGCACCTGCTGCAAGGTCGGCCGGAGCAACCTTACTGGTCCCTCCATTTTTGGCCTTGCTTTTGCTCTTGTTCGATTTCCCTGCCATTTTGAGGCTCTGTGCACAATAAGAACAGCAGTTCATTCACAAAAGAATTAGTACGACGTTCGATAAGGCTATTTTTATTTGCTCCAACTCCAACGTGACAGGGTATAAGCTAGACATTGGTTTCAAAGGCATTCTCTCGACACTACTCTAGAGACACTAACGAGCAGCTTCCGACTTCAAGAAGAACAACAGAGTCCTGTGGCCTAGTCGAGGATTCCGATGTCTTGGTTGCGAAAATACGCAAACCTTCTTCTTGACTAGACAGAATCTTCGAAATTATATTCTTCTACACTTGTGAACACTTGACTGTAAGATGGTAATTGTGTCATATCAACGACGGTATATCGCCGTGAAATCAGACGCTTGCCTAAAAATGTTCTTTAATTTGGCCTGAATCCGAGCAAGTTTAATGACCAATCCCGACAATAAATTCGACAATCTGATCAGACTCAGTCCAAACATTGAGAGGACAACTCCTCCGACAAATTCGGGAGTAGTTGATAGAACACTCTTGAACAATCGGAGGTTGAATTCTCCAGCTCGGGAGCAGACACTACACCAGTGTTGCAGAGCCAAAATTGCGCAGAGGACGCTGCACAGGTTGTAGCAATCTAGGGTAGCAGTACCTGGTAAACCGAGTCCTCTACGAGGCAGCTTCAATATCTCTCCCGACCAAGTGTAGCCAGCTACATTTGCTACGCAAAACTCAACAGACCAACGACCACCACCATTCCAATCCCTGCTGCCCTGCTTCCAAGAATTCTCGCCCCTGTTTCTTCCCAAACCCAATTGTATTGCACCGCCCCTTCCTACCTAGCCGCCTTTGCAGAATCTCTTCAAAATCCAGAATCCGGCAAAATACTAAGCTCCAACGAGCTGTCCCAAACTTAAGACTCCCCTTCTTCTTATCCACCCAGAACAGAGCAGCACGCCCAGCCCAGCCCGGCCCAGCCCGGCCCAACAGAGCCAGACCCAACCCAACCCAACCCAACCCAGCGAGCGAGCCAGCCAGCCAGCCAAGCCGAGCTGCTTCCGTCCGGTGGGCTGCACCTATCCCGCCTCCTCCAGGCCTGCTCCTCTTCCTCTTGCGCCTCTGTTTCTTTCTTCTTCTAGAAGCGATCCGCACCCCTCCGTTCTTTATCCACTTCCTCGTCGCTCCTCCTGCAGCACCTCGCTCGCTAGGTGGAGGTAGTGGTTGTAGCGGGAGGAGGAGGAGGAGGAGGAGGGCGGTCTGGCCAATGCTGCTGCGGGCAAGGGGACATCACTAAACCCTAAGGTGCCCTAAGAAGACAACAGCAGCAGCAGCAGGTGAGGAAAAAAACCCGAAGCCCAGGCTTTCGTCAATTCTGTTCCATCGTCGGCACATTGTCTGAGCCTTCGGCTAGGTTGGGTTGGAAGTTGGCACCAGCCGGGGCCCGAGAGGCGCACATGCGCGGACCACGGATGGAGGGCAGCCTACTGCAGCCGGTGCCGAGCCGAGGTTATCGGGAGCTGCCGAGGCCCCGAGTCGCGAGCCCGCGAAAGGCATTGGAGGATATGAGTTTGGCAGCCGTGAGCCTTATCTGGACAAGGACCATTCCGTGGACGCCATGGAGGCGTATCACCCCCTCCTCGCTCCCTCTACCCCTTTAGCACAAACCCATTTTTTCATTGTTATGCCCTTCGTTTTGCTCCGTGAACAGACCTCCCGGCTGCGCTATCTCGTGCCCTCCTGATTATGACGGACCTCCCGTCATATTTGATGGAAGCAAGAGTCGGTGCTGCTCCCTCTCGTCCGCTTGCAATAAAATAGAATCCATCACTTTTGCTCATTTCAGCATGGCATGGCATGGGACCAGGCTTTGCAGGTTTTGGAAGAAAGAGAGTGTATGATATTTTCAGACCTTTTTGGATCGAGGGGAAGCTTGAAAGCAGCAGACATGGTGGCGCAGAAAATTCAGTCAAACCCCGTTCTCTGAAAAAGGAGTTTCTGGACACTTTGCCCTGAGAAATTACTGGAATTTTCGCATCGCCCTTCTCTACAGAAGTGTAATCGTCGTTGTTAAATTCTCGCACGCCCATCCGTATTATATCTGTACTGTTGTTACCAGCCTTTCTACTCCAAGTTGTCCCTCCCATACAACGCTTCTTTCTTGTTCACTCCTTCGTCCACGGGACGCGGATCTCTTGAGGACACTCCGAGGAATATGACGCCTACCCTAAGGCAACACAAAAGCGCCTCAGCCCTGCCTTTCGAAACCCCATGTGAGAAAGGCACACGGACGAAAAGTAACTCCGGATGATAGATTTTCTGAGGCTCCTTGCATCGACCATGTGTTTTCTTCTTACAAGTGTCGGGCATAATCAGAAGGGTAAATAAAACTGCGCACAAAAGAGTACTAGAATGTTACAAATTGCATGCAACTCAAACAAACAAATGTTACAACTTGCATGCAACTCAAACAAACAAATGTTACATCACGGACGACGTACTCCATCTTTGCGTCCAACTCTGTCATTCGCAGTTCACGAAGATCCTTACTTCGACTCCCGATATTGTACCGCGTAAAGATCTTGCACGAGTCGGTTGATGGGTAGATAGTTGACTTTACATCCTCATTCATTTTCATACATAGGAGTTACTGTAAGTAATTAGACCAGTCTTTTCGACATGTGCGTGGGTATACTATGGCTTACGAGAAAAGAAACCTTCCTCGGTGCCCAAAATTTCCAAGACTTTTCTACTTCCCGCCGCAGTAAGAACTCTTGTGTTGGTGCGTTCTTACCGGTCTTGTAAGTACAAATAAGCTCTTCCCAACCTTTCCAGGCCCATCGTGAAAGTACCATGTACAGAAATATCTTTAAAGAACTGCGTGCTTTGCAATGACCAATCCCTTCCTCCCAGTTGCATGTGTATGAATCGCATAATATTACTTAGAACTTCTAACTTCAGGGCCCACAAGTTTCGCATGCAACCATACTATATACTGCTTTGTTCATTGCTCTTCCACGCACATACTTACTTCGCGGGTCAAATTTTCACATGCATTCATATCGGGTTTGACCTCCATAAGGTTAACTTGAAGTTCATACTAGATAATTTGGCACTCAAAATGACTTACTAGCCCATTTTGTACCAAAAAAAAATATGTTTTAAATATAAAAAAAAATTATGTAAATGAACAATATGAAAAAAGATGTTGCACTTCCATTTTTTAAGGTAAGGTTTTTATCTTAAAGATGTGACCTAATTTCTTGATTAATTTAAATTTAATCAAACAGAATTCTAAATATTCCACATTTATAGAAATTATATATCATGGATATAGCTGTAGATTAACTTTGATTAAATCTCAAATTTATATTTTTTTTATGTTTTTAAAATTCAAAAAAATCTTTAATAATGGAATATGAAACAAAAGTATTAATTCTGAAGCTAGAAATTCTATTTCAATTTCATGAACATAACTTGATGTTTTTTGAATAATTATTTGAATAAATTTTCTTTCATTTTAAATCCTACATGTTCAAATAATTGCATGTAACATATTCAGTCATTTAAAAAAAATTATTAATTATCAAATGAATGAAATGAAAATATTCAAGATTATTCCTTCTTTTATTTGGTAAGTAAACATTGTCATCATTCACTTATAACTTGATTTTGAATTAATCCCAAATTGATTGTACATTTTCTTACACAAATAAAAAAAATTCATAAACAGTGATATATCGTTTTTTTTTTAAAGTGTTGAATTTCATGTTTAACCGAGGCGTTTTGAAATATTTTTTAAATCTGTATGTTGCAAGAACGTCCGACAATCATCAACTATCTCGAGGTTTATTGTGGCAAGTTTCTGATAAGAACACAATATGGAAAAAAGAAACTCTTAGACTCTGGTGTGATAGACCGTATCGCAGTCTCACTAACCATTTGAGTTGATGTCTATAGATTCGTTGCACCTCAAGTTTAGAAGATCAAATAAAGCATCTTTTAGCATGCATATAAATTGTATCTGCACTTGTTTCCCCATAAACGAGTATATATGAACAAGATCTGCAAGTTCAAAACAAACAAGTTAGGAAAGACTTAACTTAGATGAATCCTACTCGGAGTTCATTGCAAGACATAGCAATGCATAGCTGATGAACTGAAATATCCATCATGATAACATATGGCAGGATACGTGAATATTTAATATGTGGTATTCACTCTCTCATCTCATAACAAAAACTCAATGGTGAAGTGTGTATACTCCGTACTGCCTCGAAAATATCAGCGTACTCTAATCTGAGCGATGAAGACGTAAGTGGACTAAACAAGGGAAATCGGAAGCTCATGGTCTTTGAGAAGATAGATTTGTCCACTAGGTTTCAATTAGATCTCAAACAAGTCGACACAGTATATACCTCAATTGTTATCTGGACTAGTTAAAGTAGTTGAACTTTGAACTTGTGATCTGGTTTTACATTAATTCGTGTGATAACTTATAGCCAAGCTTGCGTGCTTTATAGATACTTAATCCATGGCCAAATTTCAGTTGACGGACTTTAGTAAGCATGCGTGATTAGCTCATGCCTCGTCTAAGTTGTATTAAAAAAATATGTGTTGCAAGTGTGTATACTAAAAAAACAATGTTCGATAGCATGATGCACTATTCTATAAGGTCATGGTAATGTTCCAACTCCTTTATAGTGAAAAGGGCTTCAGATTAGCATAAAATTGGCAGAATGATCGTTGATGTCGGTTTGGAGTGTGAATTGTTTATTTGAGTGTAGACAGTTCTATTTGAAAGCAAAATGGAAGCTACAATCGCAAGAAACCTCTTATCTGCTTACGTAGATGTGTTCACCTACTCAAACCACTTGAACAACAGGTCCAAAACCCAGAAAATATTTCCATATGAAGCCATGAAAACCGACTTCAACAGAAGATTTTTCCTAAAACCTATTGATTTGTAGAGAGAAAATTGAACAGTCAAGGCCTCTAGAGCACTAATCCTGGAGCAAAACTTGAAATCTTCAGCTGAACATGAGGGAAAAGCGAGTCTCATTTGTTTTTTTCCAAATGAGACTACAGATCAGAACAAGTATCGGTCAATGGTTCATGGTTTATTAGATAAAAATATATAATTTATCATCAAAGAGAACTCTTCGACTGGAAGGCATGTGATCCTTTCTCTTATATTCGGATTCGTTCAAAAAAGATTATTTTCTTTTACAGTAGGGATTCTGCTTCAGAAAAACCAGTCATCACCTGACTTTCTCAGAAATGAAAAGAGTTGAACTCTGCGACCGCAATGGAGGAGAGCGGTTTCAGGGTTTTCGGGAAGAAGGTTCAATGAACAACTTCAATCTGACTGAAACTTATGATTCTCATCAACTCACGGCCGAAGGAGAAATTTGCATCGCCTCGTTAGCCATCGAAGTGTATCCTAGCCGCACACGCTGTCGGGTGACATATCCAATCTTCTCTGACGGGGCATGCGATAACGTGGGGCCGAGAACAAGAGCGACTTCTAGTGGCAGGGCAGGTCTGAATTTCAGAGAAAGTGTACAATGGCGTGACATCATTGACCTTTGTGGTGTTCAGTGTCGGCATCGCCAACGGAGGCTGGTTTCGACGAGAGGTGACATGGCTGCGTCGACAATGCTCGGCCTCATGTTCATGACACCAACGTCGATCGAAGCACTCACTCCATTGATCGTACATAGTACACAGTCGTACATTGCATTGTATCGGTGTCCCTTGCATTGCATTACCTCGTTTACGGCATTGACGTCGTCTCCGTCTGACCCTGCGACCATGTCAATCCCGAACAAGGTCGACCATGGGCTCGACATCCTACCGCCTTGAAGACTTTGAACGCCAGCTACACTCACCAAGGACGTTGCGACCTGCAGGTTTCTTAGAGCCGCTTCTTCTTGTCTCGAGAATTTGGTTTGAATGGATCACACGCTTTTCGCCCACGGTAGGACCATGCACGACACATCCTTGTCCTCGCATTCATTCTATCTGCTACTCTTGTGTAGACCGAGAGAGAGAGAGAAAGATAGAGAAAGAAAGAGAGAGGGAGAAGAGTAGCCGAAGATTACATTTTTGAGGAGAAAAACCAGCTTCAGTCCATAAAAGTCAAACGGTCTAATTTACACGGCCAAATGGTCAAACAGTTTAATATGGATTATGATTTTATTAATCAAAATCCATATCAAATCCCAACACATGGACCAAAAGAAACAAATTAGATCTCTTTGATAATGTCAATTTCTCCAAGCGAGCATTTCAATTTTGCTACTTTTTAATTCCGAGTGGGAGTTTGTAGGAACTCGAGCTCAAAAACAAATATTTTAAATTCAATACTCTTTCGCTCAGTCACGTAGGCCAATACACATTTCAGTGCAATGCATGCATGTATCTTAAGGGACTGGATGGGAGATGGATATGTGTCCATCTATGTTCCAAGGCCAATGTAATGAAGATATGACCAAATATAGTGCTCGGTATGTGAATATCTTAGCGGCAATACTTATCTTTGCAGCTGTTCCACCGTGAAGCTGAAAGTCATGGATGGTAGCACTGGTGTTTTCCGAATATGATCGATAATCACAAAACTAGTATCCTTCCCAATATTAAGCATATATAGTTGATGTGAGAGTGAGCTATAGACGTCATCTAACAGCGTCATCGTTATCTGAAACAATATCATCGATGACTCTTTGAATGACGTTATGTGTAACAAACATAAAACCTTTCGAAGAACGACATGCCAAATTGTGCTCCCATGCATGTAGCTCACATATGATGCATCAAAACTAATGGAAACTCATTATTGTGATAGATGTATAATGTGTGTGAGATATATGATCACAGAATCAACAATCAGAAACAATGGATGAGATATATAGTTTCACAGGAATAGAAATGCCACGCATGGGAGAATTAAGTCTTATAGGGTGCGTCCATGAGTAATGTGGGAAGTAAATTAGAAGTGCTGGTTAGTAATAGACTTCTAGAATTTTAGTCGGTCTTCTTTAATGAATGATATCGAGTTATTGCTTGCAGTCCGCCGAGAATACTGCAAAATGTGAATATCACTCTTTCATGATAAAAACCCACATTTAGAAGAATAGGCAATAACAATATCGAAATGGAGAGCCTGGAACAAGAGCAACCATGGCCAACGAATCAAGAAAGCTAATGCTCCTACACCCATAACTCCAAAAGCAATGGCTGAATAGACTCTACATTTGCGTTTGTCACTGCATGGTGTTCCCAATAAAGACCATGTTTGATCAAAATAAACTTTATGGGAGGTAGTGGATTATAGTAGTAGATGTCATAGCGGGACTTCATGCAAGAAAAAAAAAAGGATATTATGTAAGTGGTAGCGGATATCCGTCCACATCTCAGGGGTTACAGGTGATTGATGTAGCAATATTCATCAAAAGTATGGTCTGATCACTCACACTCTTCGCGGCATATAACGTTAAAATATGGGGGAATTTTCAGGACTTGTACACTTGTTGAACTGTTTTTTATTTAGTATGCAAGATACCGTAATAGAAAACTTTCTGTAAAGCACAAGAGAGATGACCCATGTTTTGTAGAAATATTTCACCCCAAAGAAAGGCGACCGAGTAAATTAAGGAAGTGTTGTACCGAAGTGCATTTCTCTTTTATGAGGTGATTGAAAACTAAACTGTGGCAACTCAATTGTAGTGTTTTGAAACAATAGTTTACCGTTTTCTGAGCAACATATTCTCACGAGCTTTTCAGTAGGAAGCCGCTGCAACGAAATATACTTCATAATATGTGCGGACAGCAGGGTGTGTAAGTGAGAATCATGACAGCAAATCCACTGTTGGAGCGGGTGGAAGGTAAGAGCTATGCAAACACTTTGTTCACCCGATTGTGTATACGCTGTGAGAGTGTGGCATGAGCAGCATGAGCATCGCGCTCCGTTCTTTCGCACTACCGATTGATCTTCGTCGTTGATGCGCTGAAGTACAAGCAGAGAAGGAGCTCTACGGAGGAAGGGATCTGCATCATGCAGATTCGGTTCCGTCAACTGTCTAGCTTCACGGGAAGTCTGACGCATTGTCGGTCGCGAAACGCAAACGCCCGACCGGCCGTCCGGCCGTCCGCTTGCCCGCCCGGCGTGGTTGGGGCCATGGGAATGGGCCTTTGGATGTTTATTTGACCGCCTGGGGAGTGAGTCTAAATGAGAGGTGGATGGAAGCGCGGGTTGGAGCGCATGGGTCAAAGGAAAGCACCCGCCGGGGTCGGCAGTCGCGGGTTGGTCGGGCGGGGATAGCATCAGCAGGAGGAATATGATGGATCGGAGGTTCGTTGCGGTGAAATTCTTCCGTATAGTATGAGGAGTGTGGAAATGGCAATGGCGCTGTCGGCAGGCTCGAGCTTCGTCGTCCGCAGCAGAAGCGAGTTGTGCGCATCGACTGCAGCTTCTTCTTCCGCCCGCGCTATTTGTCGTTCTGCGTCCGGCCCGCGGTTGTCCGCTGATCGGCCTGAATTCTGTTGCTCTTTCGACCTGAGGACGCTGGCCTTTGGTGGCGCGCCAGGCCCAGCACCATGCTCGTCTTTCAGCCGACGGTTTATGACATGTAAGTGCGCATCGCCTCCTTCTTTTTTCAACTTGGGGTCGAATTTGCGCAATTCCGTGGGTGCTGATCTGGCAGTACGGTCTGTCCATGGTGAGGGATGTCCCTCTTGCAGGACATGTATGCAATTTGTCCCCCGTGCGCAGCGTGTGTTTTCTTGTTGGCGAGATTCTTTTTGTGCTGGTTAATTTGCGCAATTTCATCTGGTAGCATGATCGGAGTTAGATCGAAGTTCTAAGCTTGCAATTGCGAGCTCTAGCGCATGTGGAAGATTAGAGGATACTATTAGCGAAGCGAAGTAAGCAAGTCGACAGTTATACCTTCTAAGGAACCGGTTGGATTTGGAGTCTGGGAAGATCCGTGAATGAAATTGCCGGTCTTCTGCTGCACTTGGCGAATTTCTTATTACTGGACTTTGCGATTAACGAACATCTACCGTGTCTGTGTCAGCAAATCGGAAGCAGCACTTCTAGTTAGATGAGACTGGAAGTGATGTAATACCTGTTATTTGCTCTCTGCATGCATCTGAACTGCCTTGTTGCACAAACTCTGTTGTAGTCGACGGTAATGTACTCAGCTACAACATCATTGTCGTTTGGCAGATTGGCTTCAAATATTGACTGATTATAGTTGTGAATTATCATTTATGCTGATTTCGTCCCCCATGTGTGTTCCCTTGTGCGTTTTCCAGGGAACACATATCCATTACTTAAGTGCAAAGAAAACATTTGTTTGGACACAATATTGAGTGAACTCTGACGACCAGCCAGCGCTTGCTTATAAAATCCTTTTGGGACCTTAAGATGGGGGACAATGTGCGGGTTATCAGTCTGTCAAACTGAAGTCTTATGTAAAAACTTGGCGTAGTACATCAGTGCCTAAAGCGCATGACCCGTTCATTTGATCCGATTACGCTAAAACATGACTAGATAACAACCTACTCTGTCAAGAACTTCGACTAGAATTGTCTGAAAGTACTTTGTTGGAAAGATGTGGGGAATAAGATTTCAATAACCGTGAGAATTGAACATATCATCACTCCATATTGACCAAATTGAGTATTTGTATGGGATGATTTTCGTGGACTTCGTTTTTCTAGCCTGCAGACCTTGTGTACACTTTCTGGGTTAGATCATCCTGTTTTTGGTGGACCATTTATTATTTGACGCAATGTGCAGTTTGTAGTTGCAGGCGAGGAAAAGTCTTTAAATGTCCCGGCGTCTATGGCACAGAGAATCCAAATCAGACTCCAGCCTGCTTCGTATAGGAGCAGGCCGGTCGAGAGTGAGGACGTGGAACCTGATCATTTGTTGGTTCTAGTTCACGGAATCCTTGCCAGGTGAAGATACATGATGAATTTTGTCGTGATCTCGCCTCCTGTTGTTTATCAAATACAAGTTCATAATATATATATGATATTGTCATAATGGTTTCGGAGTGTCAAAAGAGATAGAGTTAAAAATGATGTTTCTCTTCAATGACATTGTCCAGAACATGCAAAGACAGTCAGACATGTCCCTTCTCACGTCCGGCTTACGTCACGTTAGTTTACGATATATCAAATTGTATGAGTATTTTTGTCTTCTTTCTTTCTGCTGCCTTATCTTAGTCTGGATCTTCGAGATGTCACTTTCGGTGCTAAACCGCCAAAACTAACTGAAGTAATCTCCTTTATTGTCGCAGTCCGAGCGATTGGAAGTACGTCGAAGCTGAACTGAAGCCTCAGTTGGGAAACAGATATCTTCTATTTGGTAATATTAATAAAACATGAGTTTAGCTCAGTCACTGCAAGTCTTACAGGAAATTCGCTCAAGATATTATATTCAGGAACGTCAGATAAACATTGATGTGGTTTTTTTGTTCTTGAATTTCCAGCCAGTGCTGTGAATTCTTATTTGAACACTTTCAACGGGATTGATACGGCAGGAAAGCGACTCGCAGAAGAGGTGAGTTCTGAAACGACCTACTTCTTTCTTTTATTTGAAAAGCACAACCAACCAATGAAAGTATATGTTGTCAAAAATTATATATATTATGTGGTACATCGTATGACAATCTACAACATAGAAAGTACAAATGAAAATGTGTGGCAAGGAGAACATAACTTCTGTTCATTCTTCTATCGAATGCACCTCTTTCATCTGACATGGGAGGGAATTCGTTTTTCAACACTATTGTTTTGGTAAATTCTTGCAATTTACTATATGTTGATCCAAAGCAGCCGCACTTTTGAGTCACATTCACGGGTGCTTTCACAACAATCAGATGGATTATATAGTTAAGGGTTTCTTCGTTGATACTAGGAAACTCTCAATTTGTCTCTTTCATGAAGTCACTTTCCACCAAAGCGATCCCCTTGTCTCTCTTGTACTCAGTTATTATCTTCCCCCTACCTTTTCTGTCCAAGTTTTACATTCTTCACACTAGCAATGATCAACCTTGGCGCTATTGTCAACCTTCATGCTATTCTCCATGTTCTAATGATTACAATCTACAAACAGAAATATTCTCAAGGACAAATGAAAGTTTGAGAAATGCATTGGCCTTTTCCAGTTTTTGGTGTCTGCTGACTGAATTGTAGTACATTATCCCAACTGCATTTCCTTTTGCTAACTACATCTTTGCTGTATAATCAATCTTAGCATTCAGGTGACGTGATATCACGTAGGTTGTGTTGTAGTGTTCAATGGGACGGTTTCGTCACATCTAATCCAGTGATCTTCTTACAGGTAGGATTTGTTGTCAAACGTACGCCAAGCTTGAAGAAAATTTCGTTCCTTGGACATTCTCTGGGAGGGTTGTTCTCGCGGTACGCTATTTCTGCGCTTTACAAGTCTCCATCAGGCGTCCTCTCTCTCACAGAAGATCAGTCCCTCGTTGAAGAATTAGAGAGGAGAGGAGAAAAGAATGTACATGATACCCGCCAAAAAGCTACCATAGCTGGGTTGGAACCTATCGACTTTATTACTCTTGCAACTCCTCATCTTGGAGTTCGCGGAAGGCAGCAAGTAAGCTAGCTCACGTATCTGTTGAAAGTGCTAGAAGAAAACTACTAAACTCCATTCAGTGCCGGTTATCTTGTTAGTGGCTATCAAGTTGCAGTCAGTCATACTTACAAAACAAAGTTGTTTTGTCACTTACACAGCTACCCTTTCTCTTGGGATTGCCTGTCTTGGAGAAACTTGCTGCGCCATTAGCTCCTTTCTTTGTTGGAAGTACTGGACGTCAGCTTTTTTTGACCGATGGGAAGGCTAACGAACCACCCCTCTTACTGCGAATGGCAACAGATTGCGAAGAGGGACCGTTCATGTACGTTCATTTTTCTCCCAGTTTACACTATGACTGGATCTTGTTATAAAACTGTCGGAATATCTGTAGGTGAGGCTTGTTTAAAGTGGTCAGTTGTAAAGCTGAATTAGAGAAGCATTCATTTGGTAAGTCTAAGCGAAGCAGCCAACTTCTTCAAAGCAGCCAATGTTGGTTCACAACCCATATATGCAATAGTATAACTACGTTTTGACTCAAGGAGCGTTTCAAGTGAAGTCGGAGCTTGAAGTCCGCTTTCTTTCACACTAAATTTTGAAGTTTGATATGCAACAATTCATGAATCAAATTGTCTTACGTTCATCTTAATCATACACGGTTGAATGGATATCTACTTCCTCTGTTTAATTATGTATATGTTCGGTTTGAAATTCTTATTTTCTGTATACTTACCAACACTTGTGTTTGATCCGTGCAGATCTGCGTTAAGAGCTTTTAAATTGAGAATCACCTATGCAAATGTCAGTTATGATCGTATCCTCTGTCTAGAAGCTACTGCTTCATTTTTTGTGTGTTTTTTGTCTATGGGTTGTCTTTTCCTATCACGATCGCTTTTGTACACTTTTCAATTAATAGTGGAAATGCCATCCTGCTTTTAGCCCACTTCTTGACTACGCCTAAAGATATGGTTGGTTGGCGAACATCTTCAATACGACGTGAATCAGAGCTTTCCAAGGTGATTACTTTTGTCTTCTTGAATGCAACATATTGGATTTATCTGACTGATGACTGAAAGCTGTTCCTATTTCGCCCAAAAATAGACTTCACCAGACTTGCGATTTTGAATCGATCATATAGATTCAGGAGTAGTTCCTGCAAGTACTAACTTGTTGCTGGATTGAGATCCAGCCTCCACGCAGGTCTCTCGAGGGGTATAAGCATGTCGTAAATGTTGTCGATTATCCACCCATTGAAAGCTTGAATCCCCAATTTGAAGAGGGTACAGCTAGAGCAAAAGAAGCTGTACAGACAGCACCAACTAGCACCAAGAAGGCAACAGCCTATCATGATATACTAGAAGGTAATACCTCCGAATTATAATGAGACCTTTGTGGCAACTGATTCGAAAAACATCTAAGATTAATTATTTTCTTCTTTGATCTACCATCTGATACACAAGGTACTGATCTTGTTCATCAAGAAATAGTTTTGTGCAACTAATATGTCCTCCCTGATTCGTTCGAGACTTCTTTGCGTCAAGTTAGTTCATAAATAGTTGACAGAATCTTTAATGGAATATTAAAGACCTTTGAATCATTGTCATCAAAATTGACAGACACCGTGTCCAATATATGACACAAACATTTTATGGGGTATGGAAAATTTGGACATGATGTAGAAGTTATGAGATTGTGTACCTGGGTTTCTTACACGATCTTGATGTTTTTCCCCATGATTTTTTCTTTGTAGCAAGTCAGTCTCGCCAATGAGCATTGAGTAATGGTGAAACGGTGAACGTCACGTCACGTCACTAATTGTAGTAAGTTTCGGCATTTGAATAACAGAGGAAATGATCAGAGGACTACAGCAAGTTGGTTGGCGGAAAGTTGACGTCAGCTTCCACGCAGCCCTCTGGCCATTTCTAGCGCACAACTATATACATGTACGTACGCGCGGTACTCGAGCGTGGTTCTTACCTGGACGATGATTGATGCACCATCAAATTTGAAAAGCCGTTTAATATTCTGCTTGTAGAAAGCAAGCCCAGTGTAGCCAGCTATTTTGCCTGCTCTATTGTTTGATTTTGAATCTTTTAATCCGGCCAACTGTTGGCACCAATATTTGCATGCCGATCTGAGGTTTCAAAATTGATTTCTGTGGGTACAAGACCCTATCGCTAATGTATCATTGGGCGTTGCAGGTAAAGCAGGAATGGTTGCATTACGAAGGCGCAGGTGTCATACGACATGTTGTAGATACGCTAGGAAATAAGGATGAGAAAACTGTTGTGAAGTCAAAATTGTAACAAGTAGACGGCAGTATGTACATTTAGAGATTAATATTTGTCATAATTTTTGTTATGATAATAAAACTCCATGTAAGAGGGATGAAATCACATTCTTAAGCTCAGTGGTTCACTTGTTCACATTTTATCCAATTTCCAAGCATACTGTTCTGGAGCTAGTGTACGTAAGGAGGAATAATATTTGCACAATCAATTGATCGATCGTGCGAAGTAAATTGAGTAACAAATCGATAAATTCAGCCATTCACGTATTCAAGCCAGAACAGTATATCATGTGTACCGAAGACCATCTGCCACCTTTTGATTTAAAGCCCATCTGAATTTCAAATCCTCCTGTTTTGGAAACTGGCTTCGTTCAAGTTGATAGCCCGTTTGGAAACCAAGATCAAATTTATACAGTTTGAAAAACACGTCGAATATAGTATTACAGGTACTAAGAAAGAAGATGCTTCAAGAAGTTTGCACACACAGCAATCAAATTCATATCTTGCTGGACTATTGGTAATTGTTAAATCGACCAATTTCACATTGAAATAATGAAAGGTAGGAAACGAAGACAAATGACACATTACTCACCCTTTCCCTTCTCTATATACTACGTTTTGCGTCTAAACTTCGCGAAATGCTTGCGGCGACTCTGGTCTACTGCTCGTCCAACCCTGGTTAGAGATTATGGCCCGAGTTCATCTATTTTCAGACAACGATTGCTAGACCTAACTGCGCCCCTGTATGTTTCAACCAAGGGACGTTATCTGCATGTGTTTTTCCCGACTGTTTTCCAAAATGAGCTTTACACCACCTCTGTTGTCCCTAGACAATCTCACAATATACTCCCTTCAAAAACGCAGAAAAGTGTCTGTCAACTCCAATGAGTAGACGCCTAAATTTATCTATTAGTCACGAAAGCGAAGTACTTTGATCTCAACACAGCTTCTGTGGGACAAGCTTCCTCACTATCATCTATTTGTCACGAAGGCGAGGTATTTTGATCTCAACACGGCTTTTCTGGGACAAGCTTCCTCACTATCAAACGGCTTTGACCTTCATCGACTGCTTCCGTTTCATCGTCTTCATGACACTGTTCTTCATCCCCAGGTAAAAGAGCAGAGAACCAAACAGAGACAAGTTCTGCGTCAAAAACATCCACCCGCCATACGATGGGTCAGCATACCTTGGTTAATGCATGCGACACGTTGTTCTTTGCTAGAGAAGGACAAATTAAAAGACCAAGAATATACCGCATACAACGATGAACGCGAAACCAGCATACCCCTCACAGTAGACAGAATATGCTCGGAGAGAAAATACGTATCCTACCTGATCTTGAGGACTTTCTCCAGGGTAGAAGAGAAGAGACTATTTATCAATCCAGATGAAATTAAGCTTGTGCCTTCTCATTATCTACCAGTGAAGTGGTGACCCAATTTAAGGCTGGCTAAGAGAACACGGTCAATACCTTCAGAAATTGCATGAAGTGAAGAACATAGTCAGGGCTGGAAAAGTCGTAATTGTAGAAGTCGTGCATGATAGGAGTGACAGCGGCCAAAAAAATTAGCTGCAATAAAGAAGGGATGTCACAAATCAGGTTTCACAAGGTAGGTCAGGTAATAATCACGCTTGTCCGACATTTCGAAACACAACACTCGAAACATCCGAATCTAAAACACTCCAGGGTCATGTCTGACAACTCAACGAACTTCACACTCCTCATATACTGTGAAGAAAAAATATAACAAGTAACAAATATCAACAAAAATACATACCAGCAAGTAAGCTCCCAAGTTGCTGCCAAAAATAAAGAGAATTCCTCCAATTCCCTCAAGACCTATGGCTGTCATCAAAAGATGCTTTGTCTGCATGTGTGCACATAAATTAGTCTGGGTGGTCAAGGCAGTAAAACGACTATGAATACACTGCATGTCGCTGGGGTTATTTAAGCATGCTCAAAACTCCAAGAAGTAGCAAGATGTTGCTACGACCCGCCAACATCTATGCCAAAGCAGCCTCTTTTACTCTGCCCTAATAGATAGACCTATCTACGGGATCAAAAGCTATCAACACAGGTGATACGGACGTGCTGAGAGTCAGTCTGGAGATTGACTCTCGAGTGAACTAATTGTTCCTGACATAAAAAAGGTACAAGCTAAGTACAATAGCACCCGCATTATCCTAAATTCATTTAGGAACACAAAATGGCACATGAATCCTCCTCCTATTTGTCACACCTCGATACAGAGCTACGGTCCATCTCCGTACCTTGATTTCTGGCAATTCAAATCCAAGAGTATTGAAGACATGACCCCTGAATGTTGCGAACTTCGGGTTCAAAGTTTTAATTGCACCACCTCCGTCCTGTCCAAAGTCATTCACTCTACGATGCACGGGAAGAAAGATTAGCATAAATGTTCAAGCTCATCCGGTTCCTTCAGTGCATTCAAGAGGCTAAGGTAATCTCGCATGCGTTATGCATTCAGGTCAAGAAAGAGGCAGCATTAAGTCAGTCAGATGACACGTCCGAAGATTATGCAAATTAGCAATTGTCTACTAGTGAGGTATGAAAAATCTAGTCATCTAAAGGCTCAGAAAGACAATCTTAGCAAAAAGACTACAAAAGGGCACCATCCAGGAAAAATACAAATAAAAACACACGAGGCAGCTCTAAAAGCGTAGAAACGACTCCTCATGAATCCAAAACGGGTATCAACACTCTCACGGCAGAACTACAGAAATGACTGGATGAAAAGAGTACAAAAGATCCTCTGGAAATGCCGGCTGGCCAAAATGCAACACACGCCCTACCCGAGCTTCGAAAGCACCACAAATCAGACGACATTAGTGACGTAGATGGAGCGCGAACCTTCTAAAGATGAGAAATGCAAAAAATACAGAATGGGGAATGGATAAACCACGGCATAGATCAACATTTTGACCTACAGAGGTAACATTCACGAGTAAAAACTCATAGGTCTAAACTGGAAATCCACCAGATCTACAAACAACCCCCGGAACACAACTCTTGATCTAAGACAAGCAAAAAGACAGGAGAATCCGGAGAAGAAACCGAGCAACGAGGATGTCTCACTTTTGCCATGCGGCCAAGATGAAGATGGCCGCGAACAGCACTCGGCCAGCGAATGACAAGAACCCCATGCCGACACACTGGAGCTCGCTTGCAAGAGTCCGCTGGCTGGCTGTTAAGCCAGATCAGAGATCCGCACTCGCACTCGCGCTCGCTGGCTGGCACAATATGGGAGAGGCTCACAAAATTTCGGGCAGCGCGTCGCCCCGGCGTTGGAAGGAAGCCAAGGGAAGCGAGGGGATGGGGAGGATGGGAGCAGCAGAGCCGCAGAAGACGCGGGAGAATCGTCAACAACGAGGCATTTGAATAAAGGCACCAGTCCCATGGCTCCCCTCCCCTCCTCTCCACTGCCCACCGGCGCTCCTCTCCGACTTCGCACTGTGAGTGGCAACACCTTGTGTCAGTCGGGCCAGGCGGGCGACTATAGCCTCGCTTTGCCTCGCTTCCTTCCTCACCGGCCGGCCCGGTCACCAGGTCGCCGGAGAGGGCCTTCTTAAGGCAATCATGAGCATCATCGTCTATCATTGATTGCGTTCTTAATTAGCTGCAGCGTTGCAGCATGTTGGTGGATCTGCTGCCTGAATGCGTTCCCGATTCCCGTCATCCCTTTTTCGTGGACCGATCTCAGAGAAGGTCTATTCATTTCTCTCCACTCCCCTCGGAGTTTCACCCATCCCTCGCATGACAAGTTACTCAAATTTATGTCATTCCCCGGCACGATTTCCCTGTTTATGTCGAGATCCACATGTTGCAGATAAAATTGCTCACCGGAATAAAAACCGACATAATTTCAGTCTATGTGAAATCATGTAATTGGTTTATTGTGTTTGGAATTTGTTGCTTCTTATCGCCAGGCTTTTACAATTAGTCAATTAGAATCCATATCTGAATTCGTGATTATCATTACAGCATTATAGCATGAAAATTATAATTTATTTAATTCAAGCAGGAAAAAATGAATTGAAGAAGTAGTATTTTAAAAATCTCAAGCAAAACCGTGATCCCTTTAACTTCGCAATCTACTATCTGTCTTACCAACAACAAAGAGATTGACAACAATATATTATTTTCAAATATTTTTTCCTTTATGATTCACAATAATGTAATTTCCCTCTATACTTGAATGCAGTGTTTAACTTACTGTTAAACATGTTAACTTACTGTAAACCATTTACCATGTTGCCTTCAACCTAGTGGAAATCTCTCAATAACAACTCTCGTTGCAAATGATACTTTCTTGCAGTTTCGATTTTGTATTAATAGGTAAAATAATGATGTTATATTTTATTAACTGGAAAATTTATGTATTGTAGTTAATGTATTTTTTATTTATCGTATATGTATACATATTACTAGATTTGTGTGAGAAGCGAAAATGACTTGAGAAAATATACTCATATGTCAAATTTTACAACTGTATATATATGATTTGAACTTCTACGTTTGCAAAGTTTTAAAGTAAAAAAAGAACCTCCCACGCAATAGCAAAACATACTAAAATATGCATTTTTTTGCACAAAATAAAATTGTACATACAATGAATATGTGACCCAAAAATATACATGTTCATATGTTGAACCCAAAATGAATCGTTTTAATGTTTTTCAATCCACAAGATTATGTGATTACAAACTGTGTTAAAGAAAATAAAGGAAAAAATTAGTTTAATTTTCAAATTTAGTTTATAAGAAATAAACCTAAATTCTACACATTACAGAAATAAACATGTGTAAATATATAAAATTTTAAAATACAAAGTTAATAAAACATGTTGATTGCATCAAGTTTTTAGGAAAATATGAAAGAAAACCTAAACATATGAAACACTTAAACACACACATATATATATATATATATATATATATCTTAAAATCTATTAAATTTTTAAAACTCCAAAATGAAATTTTGAAAGTCTAGACTAACAAAAAAACAAAATGTCATTTACAATAATTTTCTACTTTGATTTTCTTACTTGAAGTAGAAACGTTTATGTATGTGTATACATACATACATACATCTTGTATATATACAAAAGTATTTGTAACTTTAATTTCTGCATTGATGGTGTGAAAAACATCATGATGTCAAAGTGATTTTGAAGTGTATCTGAGTAAACTTGCATGCATACTGACACAAGCATAATTCAAATTGTTCTTATGACATAGCAAGTACATGTATTTTGTATGCTAGATGAAAATCTGCCCTTTTAATTCACATTGCTTCAATGTGAATTGATTAAGTACTTTTATATTTCAAATAAGACAAAATTTTTATTGAAATGAAATATAATGCTGAAGTATCTGTGCAATGTACTGTCATGATAATGAAGATAAGAAATAATGTAGGTAGATATTTATCACATAAAACAAAATCTGAATTCAAATATCAAATCATAGAAAATAAAATTTGATGCAAATGTTGATGACTCAATGAATTATTGGATTGAATGAAAATGATGCTATCAAGCAATAAAAATACATATTTTGTAAAGAAAAAATTATTTTGAAACTTATAATTTATAGTGAACAGTTGAAGAAAAATATAAACTCGTCTTCCATGTACATTTTTAAATAATTACTAAATTTTTTTTAGATGTTATCACATTTTCATTCTAACATAAAAAACATAATATTTTAAAAATCCTATCAACGTGTGTTTTTTAATTATGAAAATAAAAAAATGTTTATCATAACATCAGGATGATTTTTAGAAAAATATCAATAAAATTCAACTATAAAAAATATGTGTTTCATCACACTGATACATATGGAAAAAAAAACTAAAATATATTGTAGATACCTTCGGCCAATCAATTTGTATAGCAAAGATTAATTTATATATCTAATTATAGTTTCTTAATTAAAACCAAAAAAGATATAAGTTTATTACTATCAATCTTTATTTCATTCATATCTTATGATCTAAATTTTATATTAATTATATGAACAATTAAAAAATCATGGTTAAAAATATTACATTTTGAATTGTTAAAATTAAAAAATATTATTAAAATCCAAAGATGATATAAAAAAACATGTGAAGAAATGTAATTATAATTACTTCATTATACTTGTTCTTCCTGCTCAAAATTTGCACAATATCAAAAATCATCAATTAAATTGTTTTTTAATCAATTTTTAATTGTTATAATATTAATATAAAAACTACATGTAAAATCAAATAAAATATGATATTAATTTTTTTTATCTTGCCGGTTAAATTCTTTTTTGATGCAAGCTTGACACATTTTAACTCTCACAAAGACAATAGAGATGAAAGGTTTAACATTATGCTTCAACTCCATCTTTCACTATATGATTATGTAATAAGCTTTAACAGCTATGTTATTTACAATTAATGCATAGATATCCAAATTTGCATGATTGAATAAATGAGATATGTTTTTGCAAAATGAGATCTCAACTTATGTATCAACATTCAAACATAAATACATATCTAAGGATATTTTTTTCTTCTTTTGACCTTGACGATATTCAACATAAGATTTCAAAACATTTAAAAAATATTCTTTAATTATCTTTAAAGTTTATGAGATTTCACTCTATGTAATTTTAATGAAATTATGTTATTTTTAGGTTAGTTAAAACTTGGAATACTTTTGAAGAAGAGAGATATGTGAAATCAAATGATTAGTAGTCACTTGTTTATAATTGACACATCAACAATACTTCTGTTTGATAGGTAAAAACTCGAACTGATTTGTTGAAAACAACATCTAAAACATCCGTCTGATTGTTAAAATGTGTTAGCATGAAGTGATATATTAACAATTTATGTTCTAATCGGTAATATTAACAGTGTCATCAATCAATGAGAAGGTGAAAACATGATAGTAGTAAAGATCTGCTGATATTTTTCTGAGCGTACTTAAATATTTTTTTACTCATATATATATATATATATATAGGTTTAAAATAACATTTTAATCATTTTCCCTTTAAAGTTTGAATGTTGATCTTTCATATAAATTATATATTTTGAATTTTATAAAAATAATTTCTCATATAACATATATTAACAAAAATGTGATAATCTACTTCAATCTTTATGATTTGCATAGAATCAAACAAACAAATTTCTGTATAAAAATTTTTTTGGTTTGAACATAGCAAAATGCGTGATCTTTATGATGTAAGGATAATCTATTATTTGCTTGTTTTAAGTTCAAATTTTTTTCATGTAGATTTTTTATTTATATTGTACTTTATACCATACTCAAAAAAGCTATACAACTTGATTTATTTATTTGAATATATCATTGATACTTCTCATAGTTAGCCACAAAGTTTTATAATATTGAACTATTCATATTTTGTATTGTCTTGTAGATGCAATTGACATGCGAATAATCTATGCATGTCAATTTGATTCAACACTTATCAAGACATTAGGATATTTTTTCGGCAAAAAATAAATAAAAATAGTGTTGTTATATTTTTCCTTATAAATGTATATAAATAGGAAATTTGGATTAAAAAAATCATCTTTAAAATTTGGAAGTTTTATTTCGATTGATATGTTTTTTTTCCTTTGATGTTGCGATATTTTTCATGATTGACATGAATCTGTTCACATTGTACTTAGATAGAGCAATATTAGATCCAATGCAAGTCATACATTACGTAAGACTAACAATTACATTCTTATACATTGTGTGTGCATAGTACATGGAAAAATATGGTGTACTCTACAGAAATACCAACTAAGAAATCAGCTGTTAAAAATTTGACAACAACTTTTTTCCTCTCAATAGACCCCATTGATTTCTAAGAGTTTTAAATGTGATATTATAAAAACAACTTCATTAGATATGTCATTCATTTACCAAACACAATTTACTTATAATTTATTAAATTTAATTTCAAATTTTACAAAAACATATCTTATATATTATATTATTTGCTAAATCTGCTCATATTGCAAGCAAATTTAAAGGGTTTCTTGCATCCATTCTTGTTAGACTGCTATTTTGATGGAAAATTAATATTTGTAAATAGAATACTATAAGAAATAGAATAAGTATTCATTATTCATGTTCTTCTTGTATATATACATATCAAACACAAAATTATCATATTTTTGTGCTAGCATGAGTTCATCAAACATTACATCTTAGTGCATAAAAGTTTAGTTTAATACATGTAAAGATTTCAACAATCTACAAATCTATTTTTCAAGATTTTTTTTTTCATCTAAATCACTTCTTAGTCCCGTATAGATTATCAATACCTCTTTTGAGTATTGTTTCTGGATGAATATAAGTTTTAGTAATAGAATAACGTTATAAGGAGTTGAGTAGAAAGTGTGTACAATCTACATTCATATCTTAAAACGTTATT